GATTAAATATGACAACAAGACAGTTCCATATAATGTGTTTTACGTATTTTATCACGTGGAAAATCCCATGTCACTGAATCCTGTTGAATTTATTTTTTCCTTTTAATATTTACAATTAGCAAAATTTGGTTCAATTAGCACTTCTTCAATAATTTGGGATTTTTATTTATGCTTGATTTTTATTTATTATTATTTTATAAGTATTTAAATAAATATACTTTTATTAGATTTGGAAATTACCTCACTTATTTTTTGATAATGCGATAAGCTTCATTTGTTGACTTTTTAGATTTTTTTTTTAGAATCATATCTTTCACAATTTTTTTAAACAGAAAATCTTATGAATAAGAATGAATGAAGTTATGAAAAAAAAATTATGTTTATCTTATTTAAAGTGTTTTTACGATAAACTCCAAGAAACGTCATGTTTATATTTCGTGCCAGAACTTTTTTCAAATCTACCAATTTTTTTTTTTTATTACTTGGAAAGTACATAATTATTTTTCTTATGACATTGACTGATATACATGAGCGGTCCCATTACTGGCATGAATTACACTTAAAGTAATTAAGTTTCTTGTATCACATAACCTTTCAAATTCTATGCAACTTAAGTTACGCTTAGTCAATAATAGGTTTTATAAACCTCTCGCTGACTAGCATTTTCTATGTGATGCATAACTCTAACCTATTATTGACGTAATCTTTAGATCTTAAGACATTCTAAAGTTAGGAGAAAAATAATCTATAAATAAACTTGTTAGTACTATTCATTACCTTTATTTTTCATTTTATGAACTAGTTTGTCCGTTCAATTTTTACTGCACGCTTAAGTCAAAGATATAATACTTCAAATAATGTTTTGGTTTGTATTCCTGAATATGTGTCAGAGCAAAATTTTTGTAAAAACTCAAAACTGCACGCTTTAATAAAATTGATTATTATTTTACTTTTGCTAGTTTTGTGTTTTCTGTATATATGGCGTGAATGTGTTCATATCTCACTACACTTATTGTCCACGTGACAGATTATTATATTTATAAATAAATAAAACAGTGTTTTGCAGTATATCTGTCGATAAGTTTTATCAGATCATAAAGAAAACAACTTACGACAAAATGGTACTATTTAAAATAAATTGTTTTGTTTCTTTGTTTTTAATTTATTTTTGAAAACAATTATAGTTAAGAATTCGAGAGAAAATTTATGACGTTATGAAAAAGAGATAAATACTTTATTTAAAGATGTGTTGCCCTACTACATAGGGCTGCTCGATATAATAAAAAATATTACAGAAATTTTACTATAAAGAGAGACAAAATATCACGTAATCGATTGTGAATACTGCATTTTAAAACAATTAGACTTGGCGAGAAGAAATTTGGCGTTATTCCGTTTGTCAACTGATTTATTTATTTTATTTTTATTTTCATTTTTACGGATATAATATCAGACTAATGAGAGACATGGCTATAGCTGACATACCTCAGAACATGAGGAGGAGAATAAAACGGCGTTGGATGAAAGATCTCCTTCCTTAAACAACTTAAGTAATTGGAACAAGTTAGGGAAGAGGTACTCCTGAGTACTTTCCTTTCCCATGCCTGTCATGTCATTATTTCATGTATCACATTTCAACAATGAGTTGACAGGCGTAAATACATTTTTATAGACAAAAAAAGTTGATTGAATAATGTTATATTCTGACATAATATTAGAGAATGGCAATAGTGAGAGTACATTGATCATTTATATACAGAGAAATAAAATAAATTAAGCAATAAAAAAACTAATTGTCTAACATCTTAAGTTTTTATTTAGATTTTTTTTTATGTTTGAAAAAATGAACTTTCGTTTTTATTTTATCTCAAACTATCCATTACAACAATGCCATTAAGTTTTAAAATGTATTATTCATAGTATTTGTAATTATAATTTGACCCAGCCTTATATATCTTCAAGTTGTTAAAGAAATGGTTAGTAATAAATTGAAAAGCCTTCACTCTAATGCTAATTTTTCAGTAAGATCGCCAGCACTGTTGTTAAACAATTAGCATAGATTTCACATATGAACTAACAATTATGAATATCTTTATCAATGAGTATCAGTATCATTATCGTGCACATCGACTAATTAATAAACATGGAGAGGAAACTGAGCAACTGTTTGTTTTAATTGTTAAAGTTCGGGTTAAAAAACGATTGATATAATTATTGAAGTCGATGCAAGATTATTAATGCAGAATCAAAGTTACACAGGATCACAGTGGCAAGTTATATCGCATGCCTTGTTTTAGTCATGAATTTATAGAATCATATATTTATTTTTTAAATTTATTATTATATCATGCTTAAATAATGTTATCAATGAGCACACAAATATTATTATATACTCTATAGTTATTTATTTTTTTTATTTGAATCGACTCACCATATGTAAACATCCTGGAAGGAAGACAGAATCCATAGCGGTCTAGACTGCTGGGCAACAGTTCTTGGCAGAGCGGGATATCCCTCGATTATAAAAAAAAAATATATAAAAAAGGATAACTACGACTCCCCCACTTCTAAATATAGATGTCGCTTCATTGAAAAGATTTCGCCGTCAGCGCGACGAGACCCGTTTCTCATACGTTTGGAGTTGGTCCTGTGGGATCAGCTTAAACCTAGTTCAGCTCGTCTATCATCTAGAGTCCATGCGATCAAAGTTTTAAAACTTATGATAATAAAATATGGCTCCTCATTCATTCTCCTCTGTATAATTTATCATTATCCCCACATAAATTAATACAGTAAGGCTCGACCAAATATAAGCTCCTGTCATGCAACGTAGGAGCTCACGAGGAAAGCTCTTCAAATAAAGCTTTTCAGCCTAAACCCGCACTTCCTTTGACCCCTCCTTGCTTTGAAAACTCCAGAAGCGTGGTTAATTCTCTCAAGTTCAATGATGTATGACCACACTCCCGAGGAATTTAATTGGATTCCTCTTCTTAATAACACTACAACCGAAATTAGAATTAGATAAGTACAATATATACATATACATCGAAACGGTTTAGAATTTTTTCCATATCTTCACAACAAAAATATGATGCCCTCCATCAAAACATGACCCTTTCCAAAAATGCCATCACTTGATATCAAATCGCCTTAAGTCGTAGGAAGAAATAGCGAAAGCGATGCAAAAGTAATGAATTGGAATTCTTGTACTTAATCTATCTATATCTACCATTGATTTATTATTTGCAGTAATAAACTATTGTAATATTCCAAAAAATTCAAAAACCTAACTCCACTCGAAATTTGAGGTTTTATGTTTCAAGATAAGTATAAACTCGGAAATATGATTTTTATATTTTATTGAGTATTAATACAGTCTGGCACACTGAAGGGCATTGATAATAGTATTCAATCACACAATATGTACATAAAAAAGGAAAATAAATAAAAATAAACAAGTAGGAAAAATATATATATATATATATATATATATATATATATATATATATATATATATATATATGTAAGACGATGAAGTAATATAGAAGATAAGTAAAATAACATATTAAAACAGAATGATAATAAAATAAATAAAACACATTCACACCTATGTACACCACTTAAATTGGCTCAGGAGACTCTGAATCAAGCTTTGTCCCCCAACTGTGGAAGCAAAAGCAGGACTCCAGAAGATCCCTGTGTTTCTCTCCCAGTCGCGTCACTGGTATTGTAAGCCAGTGGAGACTGATGGAGGGCACTAGAGCAACAGACGATTATAAATAAAGAATACAAAAAACCCGAGGATGATCTTCCTACTTCGACATCATGACCCGCCATTTCCTTTCAAAATGGCGGCTGAAAAACCTGTGTTGGTGTAGACTGGAACGCCTAAACGAATGTACCAGTTACAATTAAACGCCTAAACTCTTCTCCTCGATTCGTTTTAAATATATGTAAAGAACAGATAAAAAAAAAAAGTAAAAAGTAATGAGGTCACAAAAAAGTAATACCTTTTCAAGATTGCGGCCGAGGTACCTTTGATATAGATTATAGCGCCTGAACGAGTGTACTGATACTAATAAAACTTGGCTAAAATATTCTTGCCAATGTCCTGAAATTTCTTAAGAAACAAACAAAAATTGTTGAAATTGGACAATTTGCCGTTCTAAAAATTTTTCGTTATATATGTTCCACTATAAATCTTATGTCCTTATTTTTTGGTTTATTCATTTTTTAAAGTGTTTCCTAATTTCCTTAGCAAATTACTAATCGTGAAGAAAACCTAATTGAAGCCAATATTAGGTATTACATTTTATTTATTTTCGTTTATGTTACAAGGAAAGTAATATTAATATGGATGTATAATTGTTTGGAAATAATAAGCCACTGTGTAATAATTTTTAATATCAAATTGGGAATACATAGTTCCATAGAAACTAAATGAAAATTCCATAGAAAATTAAAGGAAACTTTAGACTTGTTTTTTTAAGCTGTATTAATTAAAAGCATCTATTGCAAAGGAGAGGCATGTAAAAATTGTTTGTAAGTTTGTATCCATTGTTGTAAGTTTTAATTTGTAATTAAAGTAATATTGTTAAGGTTTAATATATTTTAAAAAGTTATTTCTTCGTATTATGGTAAGTGAAGGTGTATTACGCACCGCAATATATTTTTTATATTATGATGAATAGGTTTATATGAAGTCGTAATACCGAACGATCGTATGAGGATATAAATTTGAATATATAAAGCCTGCATATCTAGATTTAGCTCTCCATCTAAAAGGAATATATGAGAGGAATTGACCATCCGATCCCTTTCATTGGTATATTTTAGCGTAATGGTCACGCTGGAGTACTTCCTCGGGATATGAATAGGGCCGTATTGGTAGAATATTAATGAGATTGAATATTGAAGGGACAGGATACTGGTGGGAAGATGGCGGCCCTACTATTATCATCTATATTAACTATTTGCCTAAATGTAGATCAATTGCTGACCTGCGCAGTGGAGTCCGGGTCAGGTTGGGTCACGGCGGAGAATAGTTTCAGCGGCGTTTGGAGCCATCCTTCTCGCCATCCTAAACACAAACAAATTTATTTATTGATGTATTTAAAAAACAAAACAAAAATAAAGATAAATAAATGGAAATAACAATCGTATATAAATATATAAAATAACTATGAAACATTATGTTTTTACATAATAGTAAAAAATAAATATATATATATATATATATATATATATATATATATATATATATATATATATATGTGTGTGTATATATATATGTATATATGTATATATATATATATATATATATATATATATATATATATATACATAGTGTAATATTAAATAATAATGTATTCATGTTCAGGTGAAACAAATTGTTCTTAACAATTGGAAAAATATCTAATGAAGCAAAAAAAATATATATCCCCATCGCTTCATATATTATTACAGTAAGGCTATAAATCAGTTTTGTACCAAATATAAGCTCCTGTCATGTGCAAATACCATGAATAAGGTACCGTTAGATTCAGAATTTTACGGGAGGTTATCTTTTTTTTAAATTTGTTTATTTAGAAATATTACATTCTGTCACATCAAGGACATTTATAATAGTGTTCAGAGAGCACACTCACACTCTATTTACAATAAGTAAAAATAAATAATACATAAACTAATAATAATAAAAATAAATGTATATAAACAAAAGAACTAACCTAATCATACACACTTGGGCTTGAGTGGAGGATCTGGCCATTGCCAAAACTCCAATATTCACAGAAGGTCTCTGGGCCACTGCCGCTTCAACCTTCGAGGAGGACTGAAAGGATGTGTGGTGCTTGATAGTGATTGTGCAAGGGGATTTGGATGATAGGTAAGGTTCTGGTGAAATTTGGAGAATTTTTCTGGGATAAGGTCTAGGACAAATGGGATAGTAAGGTCATGGTGTAGGATTTTGTTAGTTACATAGAACGGAGCATCAACTATTGTTAGAAGTACTTTAGATTGGAAGGATTGAATACGTTTGATGTTAGAAACTTTTGCTGTCCCCCCACAGTTCAAGTCCGTATGTCCATATAGGTTTCAGTATTGTCTTGTAGATAAGTAATTTGTTTTCAATAGAAAGTTTGGATTTTCTGTTTAGTAGTCTGTATAGCTGGCCTTATCGACGGTTGAGTTCTTGTCTTTTGAGTCTAGTATGTGGGTTCCACGTTAGTCTTCGGTCTAAACGAAAGCCAAGATACCGGACTGTGTCTGAGTAAGGAAGCTGGATGGAATTGAAGTGTACGGAAGGTTATCTAACCATATTTTTTCTACTAAAATAAATAAAATCGATATAAACATTTCGTTGAGGCTTCAATACTGGAATGGTTGCAAGTGGGCTGATACGGATCAAATTGGAATTTAAAGATTTTGATGCGGACACCTTAATACCATGCGTTTTAAAGTTAAAAAATGTACCATTTTCTAGATGATGCATGACAAAGGGTTCGCAGCCACACATGATCAACTCAAAAAGTATACAGCTTACATATATGATTATTCAATATATTACTAAAGATACCTACAAAAGGACAACAAAAATCAGCGAAATCGAACTTCTATTAGCAAAGACACAACTTATTGAAATTTGTAAACATCTTGTGAACCTGAATTAATTTTTTAATTAGTTTTCGTTTCCATTTTCGAGTATAATTACTGTGAACTGGAACCCTCATACCAGACTGAGACGACTAGAAACCGCCCGACGATTTCGACTACTGCAGCACTTACTAGACAAACGCTCTAAACTTCCAACTATTTACAAAAGACTCATATATATTACTGTAACAAGGCTTACTTGGACTTACGGGATCGAGCTTTGGGGCTCCACTAAACCATCGAATTCCTCTCGTATCCAATCCCTACAATCCAAAATCATTCGTAAAATCCTCAATGCTCCCTACTTTGTTACAAACAAAATCATCTATAACGACCTTAATGTACCATATGTTTCCGGCTTAGCACAATCCAGATACCTATAATTCCATAATAAACTTCCGAACCCTCTTGTTTCCAACTTGGCTTCCTCTTCTATTCCTGATAACCCTCCGAGGCTAGAAATTATATAGAATTATAATTATATATAATTATAATATTATATATAATTATATAGAAATATAATTGGAGTGCTACCAATGGGTAGTTTCTCTTCATGTTGTACATGCCATGTTACTTGTTGTATTTATCATTGAATACAATTGTAAATTTCAATAATAAAAATTCAAACAAAAAAAATTACTGAGAAAATAAAAACCGATTCTCCATCTTATGATTCGTTACATTATTTCCCTTTATTAATAATTTTTCATTTGATCACCGACAGATATACTGTGCGAATTGTGCGCAAGGGCCAACCAGTATTATAATCATAATTTTAATAACTCACTAGTAATAATTAGTAAAGTATAACAAAAACAGGGAATATAAGTGAACAGTAAGTATTTCGCTAAATACTATAAATTAATCAGTTGTACAAAGCCGTAATAATAAGGTGATAACGTATATAATAACAAACCCAAACGACATAAATGGCTAAATAGTGGAAAACAGGAATATAAAATTTTCTCATTGTTTTCGATGTTTTAGGCAGATTTATTTCTACAGCGTATTGTTATCTTTCTCTAATTGCATACAGTCAATGAAACGAGATCTTCTTCGTGCTTTATTTTATGCTCCATACCATTTTTATTAAGTAACGTGTGGGATATTCGAGAAATAACTACGGGAAAAACGAGTATGCGTGAATTACAGCTAAGAAATCTGGCCCCTTTAATTTTTGTTTTTCCTTGACTAAAAAAAATAATAAAAACAATCTATTCTCCTTTAATTTACTGTTTCATTTTATTTGTTTATATTTTATTTTATTTTTGAATATTCAGACTATCAAAATTAGGATTACTGAGGTTTCTTTTTTTCAATATTTGTAAATTTCTTATCAACGCAAATAATAAATACTATTTATAACCTTTTTTTTTTACCTTTGTGATATTTTCTTATTTATATCGAAATCGCTATATCTTTCTTTCTATTTGTCATCCGTACAAAAGATATTTTGTCTTACAGAAAAAAAAAAAAAAAAAAAACCCTGTACTAAATATATATTTTCACTGTCACACAACACCTAATACTGCAATGGGCCAATGTTTAAAACCAGTATTAAGCTAATCAATTGAAATGAAAATGTATCAAACGTTTCCTAAACACGTCGATGGAAATCATTAACGGCATACATCGCGTTCTTATATTCAGCGATTCAATTACCGATGGCTCAGCAACTTTTGTGGTCGATGGATCCGCTTCATTCAGTTTACGTATTTATATTCAATTTACTTCATTATAATAAAGTTACGTCAGCAGTAGAGGAATTCCTTAATTCACCCATCCCACTCTCCTTACCGCCTAAAGCAGTTAATCCTTCTGAGGTCAAATTCCTTTTACAAAAACTACCTACCCGTAAATCACCTGGATACGACCTGCTTACCTCTCAGATCCTTAGACAACTCCCTCCTAAAGCTGTCATATTCCTTACATACATATACAATAGCATCCTACGAACCACCCACTTTCCTCTTTTGTGGAAACATTCCACTATTATCCTGTTTCCGAAACCAGGCAAACCTCCCAACACCTCAACGTCCTACAGACCAATTAGCCTTCTTCCTATTCTCTCAAAAATCTTTGAAAAGATCCTCCTAAAACGCATCCTACCCTTTATAGAATCCCAAACTCTTCCTTTCCATCAGTTCGGATTTCGTTCACAACACTCTACAGTCCAACAAGGACTCCGAGTGGTTGATCATATTTCCGCAGCATTGGAAAGCAAGCAATATTGCTCGGGTGCATTTCTGGACATAGCTCAAGCTTTCGACCGGGTATGGCACGCCGGGCTTCTTTCCAAGCTGAAAAACTATCTTCCTCAGTCCTTGTACCTTGTTCTCCGTTCCTACCTCTCAGATCGTACCTTCCGAGTTCGTTGCGGTACTGAATTTTCGCATTGCTATCCAATTGAGGCAGGTGTTCCTCAAGGTAGCGTATTGGGTCCCGTCCTTTACATCCTCTTTACCGCCGATATCCCTGTCTATCCCGATACCTTCCTGGCAACTTTTGCTGATGACACCGCTATTCTATCATCCGACTCAGATCCCAACATAGCATCCTTAAATCTCCAAAACCACCTCACCTTGATTGAGCACTGGTGTAATAACTGGCGCATTAAAGTTAATGAATCTAAATGCCAACACATTACCTTTACATTCCGACGCAGTTCCTGTCCACCAGTACACTTTAATTCCATCCAGCTTCCTTACTCAGACACAGTCCGGTATCTTGGCTTTCATTTAGACCGAAGACTGACGTGGAACCCACATACTAGACTCAAAAGACAAGAACTCAACCGACGATACGGCCAGCTATACAGACTACTAAACAGAAAATCCAAACTTTCTATTGAAAACAAATTACTTATCTACAAGACAATACTGAAACCTTTATGGACATACGGACTTGAGCTGTGGGGTACAGCAAAAGCTTCTAACATCAAACGTATTCAATCCTTTCAATCTAAAGTCCTTCGAACAATAGTTGATGCTCCGTTCTATGTAAATAACAAAATCCTACACCATGACCTTAATATCCCATTTATTCCTAGACCTTATTCCAGAAAAATTCTCCAAATTTCACCAGAACCTTACCTATCATCCAAATCCCCTTGCACAATCTCTATCCAGCACCACCCATCCTTACAATCCTCCTCGAAGGTTGAAGCGGCAGTGGCCCAGAGACCTTTTGTAAATAAGCATCTATTGGAGTTTTGGCAATGGCCAGATCCTCCACTCAAGCCCGAGTGTGTATGATTAGGTTAGTTCTTTTGTTTATATACATTTATTTTATTTTATTGTATTTATTTTTATTTTATTTATTGTATTTATTATTATTAAGTTTCTGTATTATTTTATTTTATTTTTATTGTAAATAGAGTGTGAGTGTGCTTTCTCTGAACACTATTATAAATGTCCTTGATGTGAC